AATTAATAGGTGCAAAGTTCGGTAAAATCTGTAAGACTTTCTATAATACAGCTTCCCAGAGGCGCCCAAAGGGTCGTTTCATTGGTGTCAGAAGTGGGATTTTTTTCATTCGAGGTAAGATGTCATCTTAAAAATTTTATGGGAAAAAAGAATTTTCCCATTAACATTGAATTTTTGACTTACAAAAATGTCAAAGTTGACCCATGTTCATGAAAGTATTATTTGATCCATAAAAATATTCCATCTTTATTTCTGACACTCTCGTCTTCCCTTTGAAATGGTTTATTCAAACCCAGGACAAATAGCGCTAGCATCATCCTTTCGACCCTCACGATCGTTAACTCAACTATCAAGTATCAAGCATTGGCTGCTCTATTGATTCTTATTACATAAAAAGCCTTGGAAACTAACGGAACAAAAATGAATCGGTACAAATTTAAAAGGATTAATCTATGTATCTCCATATTGATATTACTTGGATTGGAGCTTGTATTGATACTAAGAACACAAAAAGGTAAAATAGTTTAAAAGAGATGCATGACAGATGGACATACAGTATTATAATTATGAAGATTTATCGTTACCAAAATTATTATGCAACTCAACATGAACTGAATTGATTAAAATTGTTTCAAATGTAATGATATATTTCAGGATGAATAAAATTTTATGATAACGTTCAGGGGTGAGACAAATACGATCCTAACGTTCAGGGGTGTGTGTGAGTAAAATGTGAATTGTGAAAATAAAGTTCAGTTATAAGTCATATGCAATGATAAATTTCAGAAGTAAATAAGATTTGATAATAATGTTCAGGGGTAAGTACTTAAATATAGTGGGCTGTGTGAGTGTAATATGATGACAAAGTTCGGAGGTAATTTTCAGGGGCAAGTCAAAATGAAATGACAAAATTTGATGATAACGCTCAGTAAAATTGATATACTAGATTTAACGCCTGATATCTGTTTTGTTAAAATTGACACACTGAAATAAAGTAACCACACAGAGAAAATATATTACATATTACCGCAAAATAGAAGAGTATATAAATCAAAATGCTCATGTCAAAATGATTGTTTCAGATGTATATTTATTATGGACAATCACATCTCAAAATACTTATAAAAATAGCTGTACTTAATAATATTAGGAGCGTCTGTGAATTATAGGTTTTAAGTTTAATGGTTAATTTATATTGAAATTAACTTCTTTCTTGTTGGTTACATTTGATTAATCTTTGATTAATTGACCTTTCAAAAGACTTGAAAGCAAACGAATGAGTTTCAGTCACACATGGAGATCACACTTTGCGAGGTTCAGTTATACGTTTTTAAACCTGTACGTGAACGTGTAAAATCTGGTCCTCTATGGATAATTAGTTCTCCCATTTGTAGTGCTTACTTGGCCAATTGAGTATAAAGGTATACGTAAAAAAGTCGTAGTTAGGTCCCTGGGAAAGTGAATAGACTAGATGCAAACAGAAATAACCTTAATTAATTCAAGATTCAGTCAAAGTGATCATATATGAAATATGATATGTAAAATTGCATCTAGAAATGTGGTTTCAAAAAGAAAATTTATTTTTGTTTGAAAATGTGACTTCTAGGTCGGGAAGACTCCCCATAGACCCCGTGTTATAAAACCACAAAAAGGGAAATATCTTTACTTGTATTGGACAGGTTCAGGTTCTCTTACAAACGTGTAACTTAACCTCCCTAATATTGTTATGTCACCACCGAAAAGTGGTGACATATATTTGTGGTCTCAGTTTTTTGACGGAAGTGGGTGGTTGGCGGTTGGCGATTGGCGTCCGTAACAAATTCTTACAACTTTCAATAACTTAACAAATACTGTTTAGACTGACTCCACTTCAGATTTGACCTTCAATGACCTTTTCTAGGTCAAAAAAGGTCAAAAGGGTCTTTTTTCAATTGCTTCAAATTCACCAATTTGTTTTCAAAATCATCTACAAGTTATCAGAAGTTCAAATCTGACTTTAGATTTGAGATTTGACCTTCAATGACCTTCTCAAGGTCAAAAAAGGTCAAAAACGTCTTTTATCAATTTGCTTCAAATTCAACAATTTTTTTTCAAAATCATTTACAAGTTCTCAAATAGATTGAACTATTGTGAGCAACTAGCTGGTGACATTTTGTCATGTTAATGCCTTGTGTATAACTGGCGCCTAGCCTTGTGTATTGACTGGAGGTCTGTTGATATGTCATAATGAACTTAGTGCAATTATCTTAATGTTTCTGAATATTCAGAAGATGATCTTTCTTAAAGTCCCCGTCTAAAGTTTGAAAATATTTTTTTATCATTCATTTACTATTTGTCATGACTTAAAAAGTGATTTTAGAGATTTTTGAACAAAAAATTTTTTTGGAAAAAAAAGTTATGAGCATTTCATTTCCCAAATATTCAAATTTCCCGCCATTTTTCAAAAAAAGTTGAAATTTCTTAATCATCTAATATTTCTTAATGCATTTCAAAAAAGATTATATTTTTAACACCAATGCAAAGATTGAACAAAAGACACACTATTCAATAATAAAATGTCATATTTAATGGGCCACTTCAATGTTTTAGCTTATCAAAAATATTTTGAAACATTAGTGATGTCACTAAGGTAACAAAAACCTTTTGAAAAAAATTGAATTTTTTTTTTCGATGTCAATCTTTTCTAAATATGCTAGACTTTCATAAAAACCAATGTTGATTGTCTAACCAGGTTAAAAGGAAGAATAAATTATGTTTTAGATATCATTGTACCATTGGTTTCTATGAGAACTAAAATTTTGAAATGCATTTTTCTCAGAACCATTTTCATGCACTGATAAGTTCATTTCTCGCTTGTTTATCAACCGATTTTCTTAATTTTTTCGGCAAAAAACATGGGTTGATGTATGCTATGCATTGGTACGAATTGTGGCTAATTAGAAGATATGAGTGACCTCTAAAAGTTGGTTTTAAATAAATTCACAAATTTTGGAACAAAAAGTCTATCAAAAAACACTTTTTGAAATTAAAAAAAAAAGTTTCACATATCACACTTTGATAACATTGGGTAAGACTACAATATAAGCCAAAGTGGTTTAAACTTTACATGGGGCCTTTAACATTTCGAAATGTCACCCTGACACTTTAAAAATACAAAAGCAGTATAGTGCAGGAGCTATTATAATTATGTAAAAGTGTAATTTACAGATCAGTTATGCGATAAACCAAAAACTGGCAATGCCACAACACTTGCCAGAGATGGCGGTGAAAGAACCACCAAAAGAGACAATTCAACATGGAGAAAGAATAAAACAAAGTACAACTGTTCAGAACCTTCAAACATCACTTGTCAACAGCTAAAGTTCTCTCAGAAAGCTCTCCCTAAAACAGCCCTGTTTAGCTTTCCTGGTTCTGGCAACACATGGCTACGTCACCTTATACAGCAAATAACAGGTTTGTAGTGGTTACGTCACATAATACAGCAAATAACAGGTTTGTAGTGGTTATGTCACATAATACAGCAAATAACAGGTTTGTAGTGGTTACGTCACATAATACAGCAAATAACAGGTTTGTAGTGGTTACGTCACATAATACAGCAAATAACAGGTTTGTTGTGGTTACGTCACATAATACAGCAAATAACAGGTTTGTAGTGGTTACGTCACATAATACAGCAAACAACAGGTTTGTAGTGGTTACGTCACATACATGTAATACAGCAAATAACAGGTTTGTAGTGGTTACGTCACATAATACAGCAAATAACTGGTTTCTAGGGGATATGTCACATAATACAGCAAATAACAGGTTTGTAGTGGTTACGTCACATAATACAGCAAATAACAGGTTTGTAGTGGTGACGTCACATAATACAGCAAATAACAGGTTTGTAGTGGTTATGTCACCTTATACAACATATAACAGATTTGTAGTGGTTACATTATGTCACCTCATACAATAAATAATATAACAGGTTTTTAGTAGTAATCTCACCTCATACAACATATAACAGGTTTGTAGTGGCTATGTAACCTCATACAACACATAACAGCTGTGTAGTGACTATATCACCTCATACAATACATAAAAGGCCTGTGGCTATGTCATCTCATACAACACATAACAGGTGTGTACGTAGTTGCTATGTCACCTCATACAATACATAAAAGGCCTGTGGCTATGTCACCTCATACAACACATAACAGTTGTGTAGTGGCTATGTCACCTCATACAACACATAGCAGCTGTGTAGTGGCTATGTCACCTCATACAATACATAAAAGGCCTGTGGCTATGTCACCTCATACAACACATAACAGGTTTGTAGTGGTTATGTCACCTCATTCAACACAAAACAGGTTTGTAAGGATTAATGGTTATGTCACATCATACAACACAAAACAGGTTTGCAGTGGTTACAGTATGCCACCTCATACAATAAATAATTGCTCTGTATAGTAATATAATAAGACATATGTCTGGCAATTTGAAATCAAGTCTAATGGCGGCCATTTTCTATGCCAAGACTCTGTAAGACGATATAATTAGAGGTTATGTCACTATCGTGGCATATATGCCCGAGGTCTCAGTGATATATGGCCCGACCTTGGGAGGGACATTGATCTCTGAGAACCGAGGGCATATGTGCAACGATAGTGACATAAACGATTTATAACATACCTATAATGATGTAGACTGGTCAGAGAGTACCATTTTCTTAAAGAATTGACAAACAAATGGTTTGAAAATGATTGAAATGAGTTTAGAAAAATTGCTCGCGCAGTTTTATCTTCGATTGATTGGTTATGACGTCAGCGCCTTGACCAATCAGAAAGTTAGCGGGCGCGGGCTTTTCAAAACTTATATTGGCCCGCCGTCTTGTGTACACTCTGCACTGTACATCATCATAGGTATGTTATAAATTGCAATTATTCAGACTTAAAAATCACCATCCACAAATAAAGGATGATGAAATGAAAAACTCTCTTCTCCTCTAGGGTTCTACACTGGGTCCATATACAACGATACAGATCTAAAAATGAATGGATTTCCGGGTGAGGACCACACAGGAGGTGATGTGGTAGTAACAAAGACTCATAGCGGACAGTCATTAATGGAATTATATGATCGCACCATTGTCATCATAAGGAATCCATTCCATGCTATATACGCATGTTTTCAATATTTCTCCAAAGGGCATGTTGATGTAATCTCAGAAGACACTTTAAGACAAAATGAGGCAATACGAGTAAATCTGACTAATGCTATCAATGACAATAGACATATGTGTGGAATAAAGGCCTGCTTTCCGAATTATCTCCTGGCTTTAAAGCAATACAGAAAGGAGAAGATGCTTATCGTACACTATGAAAACCTAAAAACCAAACTCAGGGAAGAATTGTTAAGGATTCGTGATTTCCTTAACATGACCGTTGACCAAAGTGTGATCGATTGTGCTCTTTGCAATTCCGAAGGTTACTTTCATAGAAAAGGGAAAAACTTTAATCCATATACAGAGGCTGATATGTTAAAAATAGCTACACATATTAAAGCCATGAATGAAACATTGAGAGAAACATGTGGTTTGTCGTGTACTTTCCCCTACTCTATATCTTTTTTATAGTTTCACACCAAAATAGCCTATCAACGGTAAAGTCAGATACCGTTGTCACAAAGGCTTACTAGACAACTCATCCCCTAGACAAGTCATCCCCTGGACAAGTCATCCCCTGGACAACTCATCCTTCATCACATGAAGCTAAATTGTAAAGTGTTTCTTGAAAAGAAATACTTAGTAAATACATCTTGGATCATTCAAAATATTATTTTTTCTTTATTGACACAAATAAACACTCAAACGATGCCATTAAAACTCTCATCTCTTATTCTTATATTACATGACTCAATATTTCCTGACCAAACAAATGTGCATAATTTAAATATGAACTTCATTAATTTCATCTGTGAATGCTGTGAAAAAATAATCTTTGGATTAAAGAATATTTGAGCTATGAACAACATATTATAACATCAAAGGAACTTCTTCAATCGTTGTTAATATCATAGTATCAAAATTAAAAGTAAATATTTACAAAACAAATCACAGATTAATTGGTCGATTATCTATTTTTGCAAAATCATAGTTTTTTAATAATTTTCCCCTCCAGAAAGTTTTTGTTTATCACTGGTACTCCACTAGATTATGCTGGTTACCGAAACAGATCGTAACAAAATGTCCGAACCTCAAAGATACGATCGATTTTGATTTTTACCTAATTCCGGTGTTGCAGGCAGAATTCCCACGACATTTTTATCTCAAACGTTTGTCGATATCATACGTTTAAGAACATGTACATGTTTGCAAACAAATAGCACAGAAGACATACAGTAATAACAAAAGCGAGATATAGGATGTCATGGGAATTCTGCCTCCTGAAATAAAGAAAAAAGAAAATTTTTATATACCCTCGAGGCTCCAACATTTTGTTACCCAAACAGATCAACAGCGTAATCTAGTGGAGTAACAGTGTTCATGTAATATATGTTTTTTGAAACTTAAAGCTATATAACCATATTCACAACCACCAAAACATTTAAAAATCATTTGAATATCAAATATGAATTGGTAATACAATAATAATTTACTATACTTATTGTATTATTCGTGTAATTATAAAGTTCATTTAACTTAAAGTGGGTGATGATAATCCCACGTGGACTGGGTTGCACTTTATTATAATTTTCGTTTAAAAATCTAACTATTGTTTTGTATTGTAACTGTGAAAAACAATAAAACCAAACTATCAGATAAGATTAAGATATATCAGTGCCACATTTATCTCTGCAAATTAAATCGAGGTTGGAGCTGGAGTTTGAAAAAGCGGACGTCCGCTTATTCATTTTAAAAACAATAAAATCAAACTATCAGATCCCCATTTAGTTAAACGTCTCATATGTGACATGTATTTTATTAAGATATACAAGTATCAGTGCCACATTTATCTCTGCAAATTAAATCGAGGTTGGAGCTGGAGTTTGAAAAAGCGGACGTCCGCTTATTCATTTTAAGATTCGCGAGAGTAGTGCAAAAAGAGTTCAGCCAGAGCTTCACAGCTTTTACTAAGGGTGTTCACTCCTCAGAAAATTTCAAAGGAGGTTCATTTTGACAAAGTCCCAAAATCACATGAAAATGCTCAAAATGGTGAAAAACTGCATGATTTTGAAAGAATGTTTGACCAGCCCCCCACCCCCATCAAATCTGACAAATTCCCATGTATTATAACTGATGTTCTTATACGGGTGCGTTTCAGCGTCTCTGACACATTACGTGCGTAACATGGGTTACCATACAGTTCATGTTATGAAACTTAGAGGAATGACGTAGTTGCAGTAGGTCAATTTACATGAGAACACAACATCTGGTGATTTGAATTCATAATTTTCAACAAAGGTTGTTATCTTTGTCCCAGTTTTTTTGTTTTTGTCATTAATCACGTGAATCAAATAAAGTACACCCCCTCCTGAATTTGAGAAAAAGAATTATTTAATGGCTCCTTTGATACTGAAGCCGGTGTGGAAGAAATGATGGTCCCCCAGGGATTATGGAACCCTTTCTCAACGGCCCTAGCCCTGATTGCGTACAAGGTAATGAGGGAAAAAGTTGTATTTAGGTCACCATATAAATCAATGGAGAGTAGGACCATAATTTGATAGGACCTACTACCCTTTTACACCAGTTTAAAGTCTACCATTTAAATTGTCTACCAATAAATTGTATTAGTCTATATCTTAGATTTACAACGCGCAACACTCGTAAACACTCGTTGTTTGTGTCCTTGGGTGGTCGCGGTTTAGTACAAAAGGGCCGATTCATTCATATTGACTTCAAAAACTGTTTAAGATATATTTCGAATTAAGTTGTCTTTTGTAAAAAGAGTTATTCCTTTAAAGAACAATAATCAAGACTTTTGAATCATTAAATACAACATTACAACATCATATCTTAACAAACAAAATCGGAGTTTCGTAATTTATTTAAGGGGGTGTAGTAGGTGTGCGACCTGTCTAACACTTTTTGCATATTGCTTAAGCGTGTGCGAATAATCAGGAATTCGCTATGGAGTTGGCAAAAAGTTTTTTCATCTTTTTCTTAATTGGAAATTGTCTGGCGGAAATTCGAAACGGTGAGTAAAATTGATGACGCTTACTTCTCTATAACTTCACGGGCGTTAATTAAGTTAGCACGGGGCAGGCAAGCCAACTTCCGCCTCATGCCAAAACTTCAGCCTCAATGTTAGCCTCGTCAATATGCATTGGCTCGTCAATTTTTTTATTCTTGTCTCGCACCTGAATTTTTAACATATTCCACTGCACTTGGACTAGATTAAAATTAAATAATTTCACTTGCGCAAAATGCCATCACTTTTTCCAAGTGATGACCTTGAACGAATTCAGTGTGACAATCATTTTGGACATAGCTTCTCATAGAGACGCACATCTAACTTTACTTCAACGACGAGGGTATCAATGATAGCGAACTCTCTGGAAATGCACACTTGCACAGACCGGAAGTAAGACACCACCACACACCCTTCAAGCAGACAACAATAGTCTTAGAAAGTTGCCTAAATGCGTTGTTATACTCCAGTCAGACAGGCAGAGACGGAGTTCAGATTTGCCTCCTACTATGCCAACCAGATGGTCCTACAACGGGGACCCCAGCGGGCAAACATCTGGGGATTTGCAGATAGAAGTGATATCGGGGCCAACGTGACCCTCACTGTCACTGATTCTACGAACGCTAATATTACTACCGATTATGCAGCAGTTGTGAGAGACGGTAGGGCCTTTAAATATCTAACATAATCTTTGCCTTATTCTAAATGATGTTTTCATGATTTGACATTTGTTGATAAAAAACAAACAATCAGATTTTAGCATTTCTTGTTATGGTATTTTCCCCAAATGTACACTATTGTTCATGAGCGCTTACATTTCCAATTATATGTATACATAGCCAAAAATATGAATATTGTTATTAGATGCAAAAATCTTCTGGCTTATTGTATCTGACGAATCTGTGATTTGTTTTAATTACATTGAAATCGGGGAAATCAATGGACACATCATTTTTTGCAACTGTTCTGATATAATATCATCTTCAAAAGTTTCCTAAGACGTTTCAAAAAGATCATCTTTGCACAATTCTAGAAACAAATAAAACGCCTTAGGGCCAGTATACATCTGTATCAGTATACAGTATCGTCGGATGATATAAGTGAAGCAGCTGTGTAGACTAATATCAAGAACGTCGGTAAAAACGAAACCAATCTGGAGTCCGTTTTTGGTACAATCATAAGTTACGATTCTTAGAAAACCATGGTCTAATTTAAAATGACCAAATCATAAATTGCAACGATTTCAAATCCGAACCCCTTAATAAGAGAATGAAAAAACAATTGGTTTAAATCATTTTACTTTTTACGTCATGACGTTCAGGTCCAACACCATCAGATGCTATGTGGGAAGTCCTTCTAAATGCAGAGACCAGCCAGAATCCCTTCACCATTACAGCCCGTCTCAACCAGCGCACCGAGCAGCTTACCAACGTATTATTCGGAGACATTTGGTTCTGCTCTGGACAAAGTAATATGGTCCATACAGTTGGTAGAGTAAGTGTATGCAGAATGCAGGCCAATAGCCTTTTGTCAATACAAGGAGAGGGGGTCAGTTTTAAAATAATCCAGGGGATTCAATTTGACAATTTAGCACAAGATCACTCTAAATTGTGACAACTAGTGAGCATGATTTTGAAAGAATTTTTCTGGGCATGGAATATATGGTTCATTAGATCACATTGCAACCGCAGTTTCAGCGACAAACAGCCATACGAAGGTTGATTTCGCCTTACATGTACTAGTTTCCATGGCGTTGAGAAAAATATCCCTAGTACATGCCACATCCCACAAGACCTTCTTCACACAATATACTTTCAGCTGGACAACCCCGACGATGAGCTCGATACGGTTGAGAACTTCCCAGATGTGCGCATATTTCGTGTGAACACGGTTACTGCAGACAACCCACTATTTGATCTTCCATTTAACGGAATTGTACAAAACTGGGAGCTACCAACATACGGTAATGGTGCATTTTAGGGCGTTTGATTCAACATTTAATTACCTAACACTTGAGAAGGGGGTACATGCCAAATCATATGAAATTTTATTTTCTCAGTTTCTTTTAATTTGAACGTATGTATGATGCCTCAGTCACATTTGCTCTACGGCGGCCGTACGGCTACCCTGCGCGCAGAGTCTAGTTGTAAACTACAGACCATGGGCTTTCAATCTATTGAATGCCCATGCATGTACAGACGAAGCTCTCTTTTGAGAAGCAAAATCGAACGATCGAATGCCTATATCGTATGCTGCTGCTGAAAAATCTCTCGAAATTTGGTGACGGCTAGCTTGCCGAAGATCAAAATGTAAATAAGGAATAACTCTGGAATGAATTATGGTACCGTCAACCTTCTGAATCTTAATGTATAAGAGGGACCATTATCCCTAATCGAGGGACCATATCTATTTTACATTTGCGATCATAATTCAGATGCTTTTAGTTAAAAATGTCAGAACAACTTAACACATGCTTTTTTAATTTGAGATGACCCCGGAGTTGATCTTACTCAGGTGATCATATATTTTTTTAATATTTCAGAGTCAATCGAGCAATTTTCCGCAATTTGTTGGCTGTACGGAAAAGAAATGCATATCCAGAAAGGGTACCCAATTGGTCTGATAACGTCGGCATGGGGCGGAACCAGAATTGAGGAATGGATGTCCCCAGACGCCATGAACGCATGTAACGCTGAAGACCTCGCCGCGTGAGTGTGACATTCATTCGGATAAGAAACCACAAAAGCAACATTTGAAAAACCTTAACCTAACCACAAACTTTAACTTCAATTGTTTTCTTTAGTCTTTCCGTATGGCACGGTCTCATAAGTGTTTCATTCAGTAGGAGTTTCTGAATGAACAAGACTAGGCCTACTGGTTTGAAAAATACTAAATAGGAAATTGGTTTATATTTTTGGTTACCCTGTAATATATAGTTAGTTAGTTAGTAAAATATTTATTAAAGTCTCACACTGTAAACAATATACATACTAAAATAGCAACAATTAACAGTCCCGCCGGCTTCGGCGTATGAGAGACTCAAGAAAGCAATGTAAAAATATATCAAAAATATGCTCAGATGTAAAAGTTTTAAATATCATATTCTCTTCTATTGCACATTATTTTATGTATAGTTTTTGCCAATGGTCTTTGTAAAATAGAATTGTTCATAATTGAGCAGTATTTAGCTAGACTAGATAATGTATTAAAGTCAGTTATTTCATTTTTGCAAAGTTCAATAAAATCCCTTCGTGCACAAGTATGAAGATCACAGTCAATGAGGATATGCATTTCATCTTCGACCCCTTGTTGACACATGCATAATCTTTCTTGAAGGGGAATACCTTGAAACCTGCCCGTTTCAACCTTCAGCGGTAAAGTTCCTGAGCGTAATCTTGCTAAGTTGCTGCGCTCGTGTTTATGCATGGAAATAGTTACATAGTGTTCTGGGTGTGAAGCATGGATTTTATGGAGCCGGTATACTCGTAGCTTATTACCATTTACAGGGTTACGGTTATCATTCCACAATGCAGTATACCATGACTCGTGTTCTTTTGCAACGAGAATTTCTTTGAATTGTTTCAATTGTATTTTTATGTTTCTTGTTTCAACATGAAAAAGATGTTCCGCTCCATAAGATTGCAGCATATTCAGGGTAGCTTCCTCCCATGAGCTTCGCTTACGATAAGAGAATAGGTGGATTTTCTTCATCACTCTAGAATTGTCCATATTTTGTAGCCGGCACCATGTACGTGCTATTTCGACTTTTAGCGTCGCTGATATGGGTGTCCAGGCCATGTCACCTTCCGTGGCTACATTAGGAGCATGCTGGCCTACTCCTAAGAAAAACCGTCTTGCTTTATTGGTCACGACGGTGGCTGGCATTGTTGCGGATTTGGTAATTGCCCAGATAGCCGCAGCATACGTGATCACTGGTATTACAAGCGAGTTATACACATGCGTGTAGACTTCGTAGCTAAAGCCACCCATGGCACGGGACTTTGTCATGATTGCACCTAGTGCTCTGGATCCTGACTGTGCTAAAATAGTTGCTGTCTTAGTCATGTCTAAATGTTCATTCAGTGTTAATCCAAGATATTTATAAGATTGTGCATAATCCAAATTGACAGGTCCACAATGAAATTGATGATTTGATCTTGGGGTTGATAATGGCCTATGATGAATGATTTTTGTCTTAAGTGCATTTACCGTCATGCGCCATTTGGTGCACCAAGTGTGTAGGGTATCTAGCATTCGTTGCAGGTTGTCCTCTGTGTCCGAAATCAGCGCTATGTCATCAGCATATAACAATATACCAACATTGGTGTCGCCAATCTGTATCCCGCATTCCAAGGCTGTTATCTCGCGTGCAAGATCGTTAATATAGAGGGCGAAAATCGAAGTAGACAACTTACAGCCCTGTTTTAGACCCGTGTCGACGCTAAACCACTCAGTCAGCGTGCCATTAATCCTCACTGCATATTGGACATCAACATATAGGGACTGTATAGCATGCAGTATGCGTCCTTTAACGCCTGATATCATGAGTTTGTAATACATGCATTGACGGTTGATAGTATCGAAGGCACGGCGCCCGTCGACGTACGCAACAAACGTTGATTGTCGAGCATTCTTGCGGTTCCTAATGATTGACGTCAGGGAGTAGATGTGATCAATACAGTTGCGGTCAGTTCTGAATCCGTTTTGAAGATCAGACAGTTTACCGTTCGCTTCAAGCCACTTTAACAGTCTCGTGTTGAGGATGGTGCAATATATTTTGCATGGTACCGAAATTAGGCAGATACCTCTGTAATTCATAGGGATTTTCTGGTCACCAGATTTGTGGATGGGATTGATAATTCCTTTATTCCATGAACTTGGAACTCGACCAAGATTGAAGCTTGTGGTGATTATTTTGTAGAGTAAATCAATACACGTTCGGTTTTTTAGTGTCTCAGCTGGTATCCCGTCAAAACCTGCCGCTTTCCGTACTTTTGCAGCGTATACAGCTTTTGCTACCTCTCCATGCGTTATATCACGGTTAAGTTCTGGGTTAAGGTCATTTGGCTCATCAGAATTGGTAGAATCCATAAATGTTTTAATGTTATCAAGATGGTTTTGATCAAAATTCGGGTCATTGTTATCATTATACATTTTTTCAAAATCGTTTTTCCATGTATTTAACACTATTTTCTTGTCGTTTGTTGTATTTCCGTCTGGCATTGTAACTTCCATAGGTATTTTTGTAGTTCGATCATTTGACATTCCAATTTTCCCAAAGTCTTCCCAAAACGATCGTTGTTCATATTTGTTGCTAAAAAGTTCCAGTAAATGTTCTTGCTCTCGTAATTGATATTGTCTTTTATGCTTAAGGGTTATGTACTGGGAGGTTTTGGATATAGGGTATATCCTGAGGGATCCCATCAATCCGTGTAAGTATTGGAGCGCTGGAGTACTTCTTTTTCGATCAAAGACTTGTAATTGTTAGTCGACGGAATCGTTTTACTGCCAAATTCCAATATGGCGGTTTCTGCTCGGACATTTTCGTAAATCTCCGGAGGTTGTCCGAACCTAACTAATTCTCAAAATTCATTTCGTTCGTTGCGTATCTCGCACCTAGCAAACCGCCATATTGGAAATAGGTCTGTAAAACTTTAACTCGATGAACAATTTACAAGTCTTGATCGAAAAAGAAGTACTCCAGCGCTCCAATACTTACACGAATTGATGATACTGATGTAAGACACAGTTAGAGACCAAAAGTAAGCCGCGGATCGACTTAATTCAATTTCAAAGGTCACTATTGATCAGCTGTTCACTTCTCCGTTTGAGAGCCATAAGTTCCAAAATCTAACATGGCTCTCGAAGTGAGTAAGTGTATCTCATACTTGAGTGGGTTTGGATAGTTTGTTTTCCTGTATCCAAACCGACCGTGCATAACTGTTGTATTCCATACCTGATGAGGTTTGAAATAATAAGCATGTATCCCATATGCTCTGGTGTGTTTACTTGCAAAATATGTTATCATTTTCAAAAAAATTCAAATTTTTTCCAAATTTGTTTTCAAAGGAAATTTTTTTTCACATTTTTTTCAAATTTTTTTTTCAGAATTTTTTTCAAATTTTTTTTCAAAAAAACAAGAATATACTTCTAATGGCCTAATTTGGCTCAGCATTGTTTTTCAGAAATGATTGGTGTCAAAAGCGTGAAAAATATTAGTGTGCCCTTCACTGTCATCTAGCCGCCCGGATAGCTCAGTCGGTAGAGCATCAGACTTTTAATCTGAGTGTCCAGGGTTCGAGTCCCTGTTCGGGCTGTATAATTTTTGCCTCTTGTGTTTTCTCTTTTCATGCAACGAATGAAGTATTTTATACCGAGTCCCTGTTCGGGCTGTACAGTTTTAGTACCTCTTTATTTTTTGGTTCCTATCCTATTTTACGCAATGAACGAATTCTTTTTTAATAAATTTCATGAACTTAGATCATTTCACAATATTAGAAACATATGGTATGTCTCTTCTTGCGCAATTTGACTCAGCATTGTTTTTCAGAAATGATTGGTGTCAAAAGCGTGCAAAATATTAGTGTGCCCTCCACCATCATCGAACCGCCCGGATAGCTCAGTCGGTAGAGCATCAGACTTTTAATCTGAGGGCCCAGGGTTCGAGTCCCTGTTCGGGCTGTATAATTTTTGCCTCTTGTGTTTTCTCTTTTCACGCAACGAATGAAGTATTTTATACCGAGTCCCTGTTCGGGCTGTACAGTTTTAGTACCTCTTTATTTTTTGGTTCCTATCCTATTTTACGCAATGAACGAATTCTTTTTTAATAAATTTCATGAACTTAGATCATTTCACAATATTAGAAACATATGGTATGTCTCTTCTTGCGCAATTTGACTCAGCATTGTTTTTCAGAAATGATTGGTGTCAAAAGCGTGAAAAATATTAGTGTGCCCTCCACCATCATCGAGCCGCCCGGATAGCTCAGTCGGTAGAGCATCAGACTTTTAATCTGAGGGTCCAGGGTTCGAGTCCCTGTTCGGGCTGTATAATTTTTGCCTCTTGTGTTTTCTCTTTTTACGCCACGAATGAATTCTTTATACCGAGTCCCTGTTCGGGCTGTTCAGTTTTACCTTTTTATTTTTGTGGTTTCTATTTACGCAATGAATGAATTTTTTTATATAAATTTCATGAACTTTTAGATCAATTTACAATCTTAGAATTCAAACAATCTTTAAAATGGTATGGCTCTTCCACAATTTGGTTCAGCATTGTTTTTCAGAAATGATTGGTGTCAAAAGCGTGAAAAATATTAGTGTTCCCTCCACCTTCATCGAGCCGCCCGGATAGCTCAGTCGGTAGAGCATCAGACTTTTAATCTGAGGGTCCAGGGTTCGAGTCCCTGTTCGGGCTGTATAATTTTTGCCTCTTGTGTTTTCTCTTTTTACGCCACGAATGAATTCTTTATACCGAGTCCCTGTTCGGGCTGTTCAGTTTTACCTTTTTATTTTTGTGGTTTCTATTTACGCAATGAATGAATTTTTTTATATAAATTTCATGAACTTTTAGATCAATTTACAATCTTAGAATTCAAACAATCTTTAAAATGGTATGGCTCTTCCACAATTTGGTTCAGCATTGTTTTTCAGAAATGATTGGTGTCAAAAGCGTGAAAAATATTAGTGTTCCCTCCACCTTCATCGAACCGCCCGGATAGCTCAGTCGGTAGAGCATCAGACTTTTAATCTGAGGGTCCAGGGTTCGAGTCCCTGTTCGGGCTGTATAGCTTTTGCCTCTTATGTTTCTCTTACGCAACGAATGGATTTCTTTTATACCGAGTCCCTGTTCGGGCTGTACAATTAATTTTTTTGGTGGTTTCTATTTTACGTCAAGTATTGAAAAAATGAATTTCAATCTCAATCGCTTGCTTAGCAACTCAACTGTACACAGCAAATGCGTTATTGATATTTCGCACACTGTTCATTATGTGAATACTCTGTTTGGATTGGCCGGAATCGGACACACCTTGCCCAGCTATGTGTGAATATCGGATATCAGTCATCATGATAAACCTTGACATCTCAAATCTTCTCAGCTCTTTCAGGTGAAAGAGAAAGATGCTATGATTATCAGAAATCCAGAATGTATATCAGTGAGAAATACAATAGTACCACTTTACAAATATTTGCATGCCCTCGTGAAACACGAAACCGCCTGGATAGCTCAGTCTGTAGAGCAGTTCGGGCTGATCTAGTTTTACCTCTTGTTGTCCCACTAGAAAATCTGAAATGAAATTTCATTTGAAGTGTCCTGGGGGCGTCCTTTGGACCAATTGGCCATATTTAATTACCTGAACCCGTTTTAAGAACAAAAGATTTATTTTGATTTTCATTATGATTGATTCTTAACGTATTCAGAATATCCATTGTTTTTAAAGAATGGGGCAAGTACAGTCGATATAAAAAATCAACTTTTCTCTAAATTTTGCGAGTACGCCATGGCGTTTTATGTGTATACAGTATGACGCTACGCCAATGTTACTCATGATCAAGTAGACATTTATCCACAAGTCACGACATGACTTGGTTTTAATTACAAACGTGTAACCAATTGCCCTGTTATGGACGTCATTACATTGGTCTCAGAAATACCCTTTGCATTCGTTCAACTGAACTTCGTCTTCATAACGCTAAACGGTAGTTTGTAGAACTAGACTCTGCGCGAAGGGTATCTCAGAAACGGATCCATGTCCCATAACAACATTGCTGTTCCACAACGTGTTAATTACTTTAATTAATATTGTCGAATACATACACCCCGCAGGGCTAGGCACAAACGTTTTCTGTACCCTGAACGACTGGAGGAAGTGAGGGGTATGAAAGCTTTTGTGCTTAGCCCCAAGCATGGGCTTTCAACTAGAATTGAAAGGCCATGCCCTAAGGGGCTTTGTATAAAAAACCTCCTACCTCGTACCCACCTACCCACGTACGTGGATCATGATACAGTCTTTGAAAGATTCAATTTTAATGAAGTTATTAAATCTTCAGTCCATCAACAAGTTGTGGAACAGTGAACATGTCAAAACTTGAAAATGATTACGACTAAACTAACGAGAACCAACATCTTCATTTGGCACCTTTAATTTCATTGGTATTTAATAGATGTACCTGTTTTTAGTGAGTATCTATGGAACGCGATGATTCACCCATTCCTCCCGATGACACTCTATGGATCTCTCTGGTACCAAGGTCAGTAATACCATATTGACCCATATTTTTCTCTAACAAGCAAATGTTGTTAGCACATCATACATGTACATTGCTTTCATCACCTTATATATGGTGGTATGTACGAGGGTCGTCCAGAAGATTTTGCATTTTGAAATGTTTGCTCTAACCTCGATGTTTTATTAATTCAAGTGAAATATTGTGTCAAAAGAAATATATTTAATGGAATTGTCTTTGAACAACTCTCCAGCGCTTGCATTAGGTTAGAAAATTTGTGAGTCCCAAGGACGCAATTTTTTTTAAAAAGTGTGTGCTTTGAAAAAAAAAGTGTGTCCCCTATTTCTAGCCTGTTTTGAGGTATAACTTTATTTTAAAAGCATTTTTTGGGCGAATTTGTTTCCTTTGGAACATCGCGTACAAATGACACACTTCATTCCGATAATAATATTGGAGTTTTCTTTCCTAACTGGCTGTAACCAATCGAACTCTGTTTCCCATTCGGGAATGTATGTTCTAACCTTACTTGACATCTTTTCAGTTTTTGATTTCTTGCCGCGAATTTAAAACAGAAGTAAACGTTAAGTACGGACTGAATAAATGCAGGTTCGTTCATTTGACAATGAATACATTTTATTTCATGAATAACCTAATATTTGTTTCTGAATAGGAAAAACTGTGGCGTGTCATGGTTTCAAATCTAAAAATAAACAATGTCGAAAAAATTCGAGAAAATTATTTGTAAATGTTCAACATGTTGAGCCTTATTTACGATTCAAATAAAGATCATAATTATTTGTTTTTGTTAGGTATCGTTGTAAACACATTGTAGTATTGACCTTAAAAAATTTTTGCGTCCAAAAAACGGAAATATTTTTGCGTCCTCCAAATTATTTTTGAGTCCTTAACATGTACGGGACGCCGTTAATGCAAGCCCTGAACTCTCGTATCCAATATTATTCCATATGCAAGACGTCACCAGCGCCGTGTTTACCTCGGTCACGAGTGCCATCATTAAAGACAGAGCTCCAGCCTTGCTTATAAAATCAGTGTGGTCAAAGTTGCTTCAACGAAATGCAGAATATACTTATCATCATAGACTGAACTTTCTAGCTTATGAAAAACACCATCAAATGGTGATTTTTGGGATTTAGTGTCCCATTCATTACATGTAAGGTTGTAACAATCCTTCTACATAGAAATACCGTCATATAGCGCATGACAGGATATGTCTACATTTTTCAGGGGAGGGAAATGCAGGTCAATCTGCCGAGTATTCTTGTCTTTTCCCTGCTATGATAAGTGACTGGAGAACGAAATGGAATGCAAGAAATGCGCAAACTAGTGCCCAATTCCCATTTGGTTTTGTCCAGGTATTACTTTTGGTTGAATCTTGTGTAGAATTCACCAATACATAGTTTTAGGGGAGTATATTTTGCTATATAGGTGAAAGTGTTAGAGAGAACAACATAATCATAAAATGTAATAGTTATGGTGTTTTGGTGAAGGAAAGGGAATATGCTGGCCAGAATAGCCTACCAGTGTTGAAAATTCGCCATTTTGAATTTTTCCAAAAGAGACATTTTGGTGTTTATTACTGACCCGGGCTGTATAAAAGTGAGGTCCAAAGTGACCAGTTCCATTTCATCTACACAGCCAATCTGCAACGGTACCATACGGTACTGTTTTGGAAATTGTACTGTATGGTACCGTGAACACTGTACGGTACTCCAACGGTACCGTGCGGTAACGTGATTTTAAGAGTGCGGATTGGGGGTGTACATCAATATTTGATCGTCAAAACATTAGGCCTTTCTCAAAATTTATAGATATAACATCGCATTGTGTTCATAGCTCGCTCCAAATGCTGACAATGATGTTGACATAGGCTTCCCTGATCTTAGATGGGCCCAGACAGCTAATGTAGGCTACAACCCTAACCCGCAGATGCCAGGGACATTCATGGCCGTAGCGATGGACCAACCAGACTTTGACAGCCCTTATGGAACGTTAGTAGATCAATTTTGCAGCTTATTGTATTGTACTGTTGTAATGTGTTGTGCTGTGTTTTGTTTTGTTGTATTGTCACTCTACTATACCTAACCCCTAGAAATGCATAAGATACTCTGTTTGTCTAATTGTATTGTTTAGTATATTTTTGCAAGTACCTTATTAACACCTATCAGTCTTCCGATAAACCATTCATAAGGAATAGACAAATAAAAAAAATAACATAATCATTACTATTAAGCCAAATGGGTTGCTCATGAACACTAAATGCAAGGTAAAGTAGACTGATTGTATTGTATTTTGTTTACCACCAACATATATACATGTATGTATATCAATTCCATATTCAGCTGAGACCCGAGCTGAGGGCGTAAAAACGCATGTAACAATAGTAGACAGACCCCAGTTACCCCACGCTTTGAAACTATTCTGTCAAATGGCAAATGTGTACAAATGCCATTTTTGAATTAACCGTTAACCCTCGATTTCAGAGTCCATCCGAGATATAAGCGCCCCCTGGCTGACAGACTTGTGCTAGGAGGACGTAACATAGCATACAACGAGACGTTTGTAGTTCACCAAGGTCCATTCCCAACAACTATAGTAAGAGGCGCCTCTGGTGTAGGCATAGATATACAATATGACAATGCCAATACAAGAGTGGATGTCAGAACTGTGGAAGGATTTGAGGTAAGTAACATTATTATAGCCTCCGACACATTTGCTCTACGGTGGGCGTACTGCAGCCATAGCTTTATAAAATCGACATATTTAGAAATCAAAATCTTCATCGTTCTGCTTATATCCCTATATTTTATGCTGCATATTTCTCTCGATTTTGGGAAGCTACGTACGGCCGCCGCACGATTGCCGTAGATCGAATGTGACTGAGGCATTACATACAACATCCTCACGTTCTTGTTACATGATTGGCTATACAGTACCTTCTTTGTCTCAAAAAATGGTATATGTTGGATGATGTTGCTCATTTTGATATGTCACTCATTAAAAACATATTTTGCACATTTTAACCAAATTAACATTTATTTATGTTTCTCACCCTAGGATGTAAAATTTGTTCCTCATCTTAAAAGAAATGAAGCTCATTTTATATGTTGCTGATTTTTTTTATATCTTGCTCTTCTTAAAAGATATCTTAAGCTTTATTGCTCATTTCAGATCTGTTGCTCAGAAGATGAGGATGAACAATGCCCTGTTGTGGGAATTGCAGAATGGGAAGGTGCACCTATCCTAGAAGTTCGCACAACTTCAATCACAATCCAGGCCCAGTGTGCTGATGCTTCAGACTTCATTGTTGGGGTTCGTTATGCATGGAGGGTTTCTCCTTGTGCAAGAAACCAATGTGCCATCTATAGTGCTCAGACGTCACTTCCAGGGCCACCATTTATTCATTGGGCAGTTTTATAATGTGTTAATGTTGCAATAAAGTGGATTTGATGAATTTCAACAATTGATTTCATTAGTTTGTGTTCATAATCTTTATTTATTGCATTTTCTTATGACTAGAATTACAACAGACAATAGGCCCACGCAAACTGCTATAAATCCACACCCCTCCCTCTTTACCATTACTATGTCAAGATTGTCAGAAAGTCCCTTACATCCAGTGCATTCCATATCTACAAGAACTAACCAAACCTTATAGTGCAGTCAGAATGAGCCTAAATGCGTGCGTTCAGAGGGATTTTACGGGACATAATTTTTCATGTTGCTAGTATGATTTCACATATTTGTATGAATTATTAGTTCCTAGTTTTTCAGCTTTTAGATTTTGTGGCCATTTTACCCCCCATGGGCTATAATTTGGACCCCTACTATAAAATTAGGCAAGAACTCAAAAAATACTCAGTGGAATGTTTTCAAATTGCTATGGTATATTGGTATGGGCTGAATGAATATATGATAACAATTTCAAGTCACATGGTGAAGTGGTTACCATGGAAATGGGTAAAACATACCCTTCGGGTGTTGATTTTCAGGCCAATTTTTCAGGAATGATAGAGTCATTTTGTGCATATTTTGTCACCAGTGTGTTAGGAAGGGTTGAAGTGTGAATAGAAAACATCTATAATATGTTAGCAACAATCTAATGTAAAGATCAGTCCACATAATCTCAGATTTTGGCCTTATATGGGTCCATGATTTATACAGGGGCCTATCTCACAGATTCGAACCCCCACATTGGATGGATGCTATAACTTTTGAAATAAGGGAGATACAGGTCTCATTTTTTCAGATCTTCGTAAATGGCTGGTTTTAAGTAATGTATCATACTTTGGGAGCTGGTATATGATTGGTTGCCATGGTAACCAGGGTTTTAGGGAAATTCTGACCCCCTCATTGGATGGATGCTATAACTTTTGAAATAAGGGTGATACATGTCTCATTTTTTCAGATCTTAGACAATGATTGATTTTAAGTATTAAATCAGACTTTGAGAGCTAAAATTTGATTGGTTACCATGGTAACTAAGGTTTTATTGAAATTCAGACCTCCACAATTGATAAATGCTATAACTTTTGAATTCAAGCAGATACATATATCAGCTTTTCAGAACTTAAAAGATAATTAGACTTGTGTCACGCGGTCCTAACTTCGATCGTTAATTTGAATTTTTGACCTACCGGATGTTTGAAAATCAAGGATTACGTATTGCGTATATTTACGTATACGTATAACGTATCTCGTATTGCACCGTTTTACTTCAAACTTGTTTCATTCAAAGCATAACAATAATCCCTTTCTGTTGGTACATTATTCTCTCAAACATAGTACCTACTTCCAGCGGCATTTTGGTCCCCAGCTGTAAGAAGGCCTTCTAACAGCTGGGGACCAAAACGCTGCTAGAACGAGGGACTCTTTACAATAAAGTAATGCACCGACAGAAAGGCAATTCTGTTTTGCTTTTAATGGTATAAGTTTGAAGAGAAACGGTGCAGTATGAGACTCGCAATCCTTGATTTTCTAGCATCTGGTAGGTCAAAAATTCAAATCGACGGTCAAAGTTAGGACCGTTTGTATTGTGTCAGACTTTGGAGGTTACAATTTACTTTGTTAATACCTCAGTGTAAATACTCGCATCTGATTGGTCAATTAGCGGTCAACATTTTTGCCTGTACCTCACCTGTGCATCATGGGATATCATATTATTGACCGCTTATGTTACTGTACTACACTTGTGAATTATGGGGAATATGACGTCATAATGTTTACAGAAAAATATGGTAGATGGACATTTCGTAAACGTTGATGAAAGTGATATTTAATTTACTAGTGAGTATGCAGTTATGTGCCAAAAAAGAGAGTTTAGCTAGCACTGTCTTAAGATTTTCTTAAAAAAATATTGCTGGCGTGGTTCGTAGGAAAGATTGTGAAATGAAGCCATGATTGATGACTGTCGTCTATATGTGTATTGTTAGTTTTTTCTGACTAACAAAACAATTGTAGACCTCTCCATTCAGTCAACCGACAATATCATATACCTCGACTGTAATCCTTGAATCTACTGTTGACCTCGACCTTCGCTCTCTGTCAACAGTAGTTTCTCGGTTTACAGTCTCGGTATACAATTTTGCCTGTTGACCTCTGGAGAGGTCAACAATTGTATATGGTTGCCATGATAACCATGTTTCATTGTCATGGAAACTTCATTTTTGATTTCAGATTTACCTTCATTTGAGAATGGTCAAGACACAACATAGAACGCAAAATTGCTCAAAATTATCATTTAACTCTTAATTTCAGCATTTTTACATGAATGTCTGACAGTATTGCCTCATTCCATTCTACTAGTTCTCACACATTCTACTCCTTACTTGTTTTTACTCATCATTATTATAGTTTTCATCCTCCACAATGGTCTCTTAATTTAAAATATCAACAATTTCAACAGGAAGGATTCTTTTGACCATTGGGTTGTTAAGGATTCCTCGGGGAATTCATAATTCATTCATGCAGTGTTTGGCTTGGCAGAGCTGGGTTTAGGCTAGTGGGAATATTTCCATACACAGGTTTGATAATTCACCCTCTTCAAATGTGAAAGAGTTGAAATGTCAACACCTTCATAAGTGAAGGCAGCACTGTTCTGTTTTTGAGAATACTAGTATCTCATGTGAAACAGCTCATCTCGTAATCTATTAGTGGCAGTTATTTTTTGTAATTCAGCTGTACTTTTGCAGTTGAACAATTCAACTGTGGATTTTATGGTATCAGGAATTTCTATATTATTTCCTATTGAAGAAAACAACTTTAAGAATTGTTTGTCTTCAGTTTCAGTTGATTTATTTTACTTTTGTTCAGATCCAGTAACAATAAAATCCAAAGTTGAATTGTTCACCTGCAAAAGAACAGCAGAATTACAAAAATACATTAGTAACTGACATCAATAACAATAATATAGAAATTTGAAGAGGATGAATGACAAATCCTAAATGTTGGAGTGAGCATCATTACAAGGTGGAAGATATTCTACATAGCAGCTAATGTAATGCAATGAATTACTTTGGAGCCAATGATGAACTCTTCACAAAAAAATGTTCTACAAACTCACGTTTTAATAATTTGAGAATAATATATCAGGATCTCTGAATTCACCTCATTTCTAAATGTATGTTAAAGTTTCATGATGATCACTTCCAGAATAAAATAGTTGTGTCCTTCTAAAAAGCTCTCCATAGTGACTTTTCTCCTTTTAAGATCTGATATGAGAATGCCCTCCAAATTATGACTTGAGGTATGGCAATGGTCTGGTTTTTCCACTTACTAGTATGAGAATGGTCTTGGAAAATATGTTACCCCTCACTTGTGATATGGCATTGGTCTAGTATATATCCTTCATAATGTGAAGTTGTTTTTGGCTGTTTGCCTCAAAGGTCTGCCTTCTTCTCGGGGCGTTAGACATTTTGAATGGCCATGTTTTTATATCTGGATATTTGATATACCATTGATCCTATTTGGGCATTTGGTATGACTTTTGGGCATTACTTTGGTTGGTATGGAAATACATTCAAATTTGACAGATTGGTATGGGAACATATTGATATCTGAGGGTTCAGCCTAGGACCCCAGCCAAATTTTATATACAGTGAACCCCAGGGACCAGTCTTAACACATTCTGCCAAGTGCAACACTGCATGAATGTACTAAATCCCCTGAGGATCCTCAACTCAAGAATGGTCAAAACAAGCCTTCATTCCAACAGAAACGGTTGATATTTAGATCAAGAGGCAATTGTGCAAAATGAAAACAGTAATGATGAGTAAAAATGAACAAATTAGGAGTCAGAATATTTGTGAGAACTAGTAGTACAGAATGAGGCAATATTGTCAGATATAAATATACATGTATTGTTTACTAGTATTTGATATTTATGAGCCAAACAATTTTTGCCTCTCTAGTATTAATGAGTCATGAGCATGTAAATCATATAAAATAGAAAAAAATCCCAAAATTAAGAATAAAATGGCAATTTGGTATTTTATATCATGTATTGACCTATCTAGAATGAAGGTGAATCTAAAAACAAAAAATGGCAGTTACCATGAAAATGAAACATGGTTACCATGGCAACCAAGTAAATCCTAACTTCCAAAGTCTAATACAATATACACATTTTATTATTATCTTATATCTGAAAAGATGATATTTGTATCTGCCTGTATAAGTATAGCATTTATCAATTGTGGAGGTCTGAATTTCAATAAAACCCTGATTACCATGGTAACCAATCAAATACCAGCTCCCAAAGTCTGAATCAATCCTTAAAATCAATCATTGTCTAAGATCTGAAAAATGAGACACATATATCCCTTATTTCAAAAGTTATAGCATCCATCCAATGTGGGGGTCCGAATTTCAATAAAACCTTGGTTACCATAGCAACCAATCACATAACAGCTCCCAAAGTATAATACAATACTTAAAACCAACCATTTATGAAAATCTGAAAAAATGAGACCTGTATCTCCATTATTTCAAAAGTTATAGCATCCAACTAATGTGGGGGTTCGAGTCTGTGAAATAGACCCCTGTATAAATCATGGACCCATATAAGGCCAAAATCTGAAATCCTGTAGACTAATCTTTATATAAGATTGTTGCTAATATATTATAGAAGTTTTCTATTCATACTTTAACCCTTCCTAACACAATGGTGACAAAATATGCATGAAATGACTCTATCATTTCTGAAAAATTGGCCTGAAAATCAACACCTGAAGGGTATGTTTTGTCTGTTTCCATGGCAACCGCTTAACCATGTGACATGAAATTTTTATCATATATTCATTTAGCCCATACCAATATACCATAGCAATTTGAAAACATTCCACTGAGTATTTTTTGAGTTCTTGCCTAATTTTATAGTAGGGGTCCAAATTATAGCCCATGGGGGGTAAAATGGCCACAAAATCTAAAAGCTGAAAAACTAAGATCTAATAATCCATAAAAATATGTAAAATCATACTAGCAACATGAAAAATTATGTCCCATAAAATCCCTCTGAACGCACGCTTAAACCCTCATTCTGACTGCACTATTAAGGTACCCAGAGATTCTAGGCTTTCCATTGAGCTGATGATACAGCCAAGTTTGCTAATATACATTTCCCTTGTATAAGTTATGGTACGGTAAACTATCTCAGCCTTATAAGATCTTGAGTCAGTAATGGAAACTTTGTAAAAAGAATTCCTATAAATCAACTGTTATAACCATAGATATAATGATGTGACAGTAACACAGTAGAACAATTGATGTTAGGAATTCTCAACTTCAGTTTCTATTTATGGCCCTCTTGTTCAGGGGGCTATTAACTGAAACTTAAACTGAAAGTAAGGAGTTCGTAAAGTCCATTCTTCCCTATGACATCATTATATCCATGGTTACAACAATTGATTTACAAATTCATAACTTCATGAAGTTTCTGGTTAGTACTCATGATATTCTTACATATTCCTAATGTCCTCACATATTTTTCCAAGTTCCTCTGCCTTGCTGAGTGCCTCTATCGTAAGGGGATGGTCATGTCCAAGCTGTTTCTTGTAATGCTTTGCTGTTTGCACCAAAATAGGATGAACCTGCAGTTTTATGTGATTCCTCATTGGTAGTGGAATCTAGTGAATGTAAAAGAGAAGTTCAGATATGCATTGGAACAATGTTTGGCATTTGAAGAAGATTCGTACATAAAAGCCATGAAATGATAACTCTTACTTTTGAAATAATGCTCTCATTGTAGACTGAATAAAATATGTGTAAAATGAAATAAAATATGTAAATGTAAACATGAAATTTTGCATTCTCTTACTCTAATTATATGCTTTATTGGTGCAAACAAGAAATGTAAAACACGTAATTATTATTATATCTTTATTTTCACATTATTCATGGATCATTTTATAACGTATTTACATTATTGATAAAAATTGCATAAAGGAAGGAATACTCTTATCCAGTATCATACTTCAGGGTGTATGTAACACAGGCTGGTATCGAAAAATTTGTCCGCTGTGACGGAGCGTGCTATTTTGCATAGAAACACTAAAAAACCCACACAATTAATTTTTTTACTCATATGTTTCGCTATACCAAAGAAAGTTTCTTACTCCATGCAATTGGTATATCATCTGCGGGTAACTTTAACTTTTGTTTGAAGTCCAACAACGCTAAGAGTAAGAGCTATTGAAAACAGCGCCGGGGTATCATGCTCCAAAATGTACCATTTCTTTTATTTCTTTTTAATGGTACAATATAGCGACACGATAATATTTACATATGTTTTAAGGATAACTCTGAAGGTATTAATGATATCTTGATGTATTGGGTATTTTTAATATTTTTTATAAAAAATAATGTTTACATTTTTTTGTCCGCTTTGACGGAGCAGTTTTAACTGTGAACTATGTTAAGAATTTAAGATTCAAATTATACCTTTTAAAAGTACCCTAAGAAGAAAGAACGTCACAAATCACTTCCTAAATTATGACAAGTAGCCTCTGGGAGATCTGGGGTAATGTAAATCTGAGATATAAAAACGACCACTCTTAGCATTTTTCGGAGGTTTGTACTGAAATCAACATGAATCAACATGGTGTAAACTCAACATAATATATCTAATACATTTTCGCCAAGACGTCTTAGAATGTCACGTGTAGTGTAAATTGTTACACGGAATATGGCATACATTCATGGTTGCGCGGTATTTGTGATACGGGTGAATATGCCATTCCGCAGGTGAGTATGCAATATTCGGCAGTGAATATGTGATGCATTGAATTCAGTGAATACCCGATACTCATCTTCAGAATATGTCATACTCACTTGCGGAATATGCCATATACAGCAGTTGAATATGACATATTCCGCAGGTGAAAAACGTGATACAGAAAGACTTGGTTTGATTGGTTGCGAGAATCGACTCTGAATGTAAAACTACGCTGGATTACCAATACTGTCAGTGCGTACTAATATATGAATCCTGGATTGATTGGGTAAGTTTATTACGTGAGATTGGTGAGTGATACTTCTGCATACGTTGATATCGATGTATTCGATAAACTGTACTGTTGATTCAGTAATCATTATAATAATTTATAAAGTTTTACTTGTTCGTTCAATCGATGCAATTGACAATTGCATACATCCGTATCACGTTCTCATTGGTTAGTGTGTATGCCATATACCACAGGTGAATCTGTCATACACCGCAAGTGAATATGGCATATTCGTTGCGGAATATGGCATATTTTTGTATCGTGTTTACCGCGTAACCATTGCATAAATAGGGATACTATGAATTTATTCGAAATAGCGCACAGACATCCTGCGTTCCGACAGATGTATAACCTTTTACCACATAATATTACTGTATATAAGTTACCATAAAAAATGACCATGTCAGGTGATGGATCCACAGTAGGCACAACGAAAGGCAAATACCCTATACTGAAATAAAGTTGACTATCATTTTCATGAGTTACCATGCATAACTTGGATTACAGTACAAACTGAGAAAAGAAGCTTAAAGGGGTATTCCTTGCCAGACCATCTTTCTCCTAATATGGTAGCTATAACCATATACATACTTTGCAAGTTTATCAAAAAACAGAAATTTTTTTTGAAATGGTCAATATTGATCACTAAAAAATGTAGTGCTCAATTCCAGTAGGCTGCCATCTTTTAAAATTCCACTCAGGAAGTGATGTCATCGACTCTCAACTTTTCATATAACATAGGTAAGGAGCTATTAGAATTACTAAACCAGCTAAATATTTTTTTCAATTTGGTCTTTGATTAAAATCCTTTTGATGATCTCTTCTTTAGTTCTAAGTTGACAACTCCTGAAAATATTTTTACACAGAAGATAGGGGCTTCTTGTTTAGAAGTGATTTTGTACTTCTTTCCTATACTGTAATAGACAAGGTTATAACAGGTGAGAGTCGATGACATCACTTCCTGAAAGAAATCTGAAAAGATGGCAGCTTACTGGGAATGAGTACTACATTTTTAAATGATCAATATTGACCATATGAAAACATTTTCCCGTGTTTTGCTAAATATGTAAAGTATATATATGATTGTAGCTACCATATCAGGAGAGAAATAGTCTGGCAAGGAATGTTCCTTTAAAGAGTGGTCGTATATACATCTCAGAATTTGAATTGTGTATTTTTATTCCGTTTTATTTTTCAGAATACTTTACGAAAGAGATTTGATACGCTCCCTCCTCTAACGTGTAGTTATAAAGAGATATATTATAAATCTAAATTCTTAACGTATTTTAGATTTGAAACTGCTCCGTCACAGCGGACAAAAAAATTAAACATTATTTTTTATTGAAAAAATTAAAAATACCCAATACATAAAAATCTCATTAATACCTTCAGAGTTATCCTTAAAACATATGTAAATATCATCGTGTCGCTATATTGTACCATTAAAAAGAAATAAAAGAAATGGTACATTTTGGAGTATGATACTCAGACGCCGTTTTCAATAGCTTTTACTCTTAGCGTTGTTGGACTTCAAACAGAAGTTAAAGTTACCCGCAAATGATATATTCATTGCATGGAGTCAGTAATTTTCTTTGATATAGCAAAACATATGAGTAAAAAAATAAATTGTGAGGATTTCCTAGTGTTTCTATGCAAAATAGCACGCTCCGTCACAGCGGACAAATTTTTCGATACCAGCCTGTGTGTAAACATGAAATAAAACAATATGTAAACATGAAATGTTATCCTCACCTCTGAAATGGTAGTTGCCATATCCTTGATGTTCTAGTATTAGCCTATATATATGTAAACATGAAATAATAAAAAATGTAAACATGAAACTCTTACCTCTTCAATAATATTCTCATTGTGTTTTGCAATAGTTGCCAAATGTTCATCATCAGTAGCAAAGATCTTCCAGCTACCCATGCCTTGCTTTGTCTTCACACGTGTTCTCCATTTCATAATTTGAGTTATTGTTCCAAAGTTCACTTTAGGACCTGCAAATATTCAACTATCCCTGTATTGTTTTCATTATACGAGGATTGATCATAAAGTTCTGATAATATCTCTCTTTATTTCCAACACTGTATGTTCTAATAAAACAGTCAAAAACAATCAAAGACAATCTGGTGTCAGACTCACTCATTGTTCAAGGAAAGGGAACATAAATTGTTCAGTTGATTGTGAGATGCCCCATTGTCTTGTAGACCATTGAAAATCTGGTGTCAGACGCACTCATTGTGCACTCATAACTTAGGTTTGTGGTTAGTTGTTCAAGGAAAGGGAACATAAATTGTTCAGTTGATTGTGTGATGCCCCAGTGTCTAGTAGACCATAGAAAATCTGGTGTCAGACACACTCATTGTGCACTCATAACCCGGGTCTGTAGGAAATGGAATATAAATTGTAAAGTTGATTGTGTGGAACTCTTGTTACACCTGGGGTTGGCTTATTCAACAATTTCAATACATAAAATTTGAATTTCTATAATGTAAGTGGAACACCTCGCAAGTGGAACACTTTTTCAAAGTCCCGTTTTAAAAACCTATTGATTTAATGTTAATTGAACCTCTGTAAGTGGAACACCTCCAAACTTGAACAGTGAACACCCCATATTGAAAATTTAACCTGCTAAGTGGAACAGTCAATTTCCATAAACTTTAATATTGACACATGTATTAAACAGAATTAATCTCCTACAGTGATATATGGGTATGAAAACAGGTAATAATGTGATAATGGTAAATACGGATGCGACCACTAATTAGTTTGATAATCAGCAAATTAGCATTTCATAAGATTATCATTCAGAAAATTGGATTAACCTCCTGTAGAGATGGACATGTGATGCTATCACTAATTGATACCCCTTGCTGTTTGTTTCAAACTTGATAAGTACGATTAAGAATGTCAGTTAAAAATAATTGTATTATTAGCAGTAGGAACAAGTCTTTAAAACTTAATTGAAAAATCTTTGTACCTGAGACTGGCAGAATGAGGAGGATTTAGAATGTCAGAAAACATTTTTGAAAGAATGAGTAAGATTATGAATGTCAGATACCTATTTGAGTAAAACAAAAGGATTATTAATAATATATGCCTGCTCTGCAATGAAGGGTGAGAATCATATTTACAGTGATATATATAAATCCTATATTTTATCATGTATATTCTTAAAATCCCTGCGAACCCAAAACCTCCGTAAGCGGAACACCTCCTAAGTGGAACGCTTTTTGGCAGAACGGAGGGTGTTCCACTTACACAGGTTCTACTGTATATGAATGTATATGAAACCCAAAGCACTCAAATAAAATTGCTCATGATGACATACAAAGCCAATACAAAAGGAGATCTTAACAGTTTTATGGGACTCGGAAGTATAGCAAGTATAAACTGCACAATATAGCTCAAGAATGTGTGAGAGTGAGAAAACAGTGATCGGTTCACTTAAGGTGAAACATACTGTCATTAAAGGATGTGCAATTACACCATTCTTTGATTGGCAAACCATCAGACACCTGGAGAATCTGCCAATAAGGAAGGACGACATACTCGTAGCTTCATATCCTAGATCTGGTGAGTACCAAGTACAAAGCGTTCCCTTATAAAAAAAACTCAATCTTGAAAGTCCAAATTCAAATGGTTTAATTACGAGTTATTTAAGCATTGTTTCAGCATTTTGGATCAAAGGAAAAATCAGTGCAATCATTATTGATTGGGATAACATTCTATGGATGATTGGACACATGTCATTGCTTCAGGTCAGGTTTTAAAATGCCTGCATTACATCTCAAATGTTGCCCTATGTTCTTTTCAACAAATGATAATAATGTTATTAAAATCTTATTAATAATGACTTTAATGAATACAATGTAATTAAATAAATAAGGATCCTTAAATCTAGATTATATATGCATATATAATGGCAAGTTTAATAAATCTAAATCACTCAATGAATTGAACTGAAAAACAAAATCATGGGAAAAATGGCACAAACTTTTTTTCTTTTTTATAAGTGCAAAAAGCAATCATTCAGGTTTTGAGATTTCCATCATCTATATCCACTACTCGCCTATACACCAACACGGGGATCAAAATGTTTTCCAGGTTTAAGTTAAAGTCAGTGACACCCATTTTTTATACCTGATTATGAAGAAGAATGATGTTAGGAAGATTTTTAAAACAATCATAAGCAAAAATACACACTTTTTGTAAAGTAATTTTAAGGCCAATGTAGATACAATCACGTTAAGCTTTAGTTTTTCTGAGGAAATTAATATTTCACCAAAGGTGCATTGACTTAACATGGAGATACAATTGACATAACATGGAGATACAATTGATTTAATATGGAGATACAATTGATTTAACATGGAGATGCAATTGATTTAATATGGAGATACAATTGATTTAACATGGAGATACAACTGACTTAACATGGAGATACAATTGACTTAACATGGAGATACAACTGACTTAACATGGAGATACAATTGACTTAAAAGCTGCATATCATCATGTATGTATCATCATTATCTCAGAAGAGTCTCAACAACTCGATCAATGTAGGAGAGAATTGCTAGTGAATCCATTTTCAAAAGTAAGAATAGGGTTCTTAAACAGGACATTGGGCTTGCTTTTTAGAACTTTTTGCTGACTTAATATAAATAGTTTTACTGCAGTACTGAGATTGAGTTTTACTTGGCTGGCTTGACTTGGGTTGAGATGACCCAAAGTGTCACAAACTTGATTTGGCTGTGTGCATTTCATTTGAATATTTCTTAATGACATATAGAATACTACATGTAATGGCTTTAAACACAAGCATTTTCAATAGTTTTTTGTGTGATACAGAATCGACTGAGTGAAAAGTAGATGAACGGCACACAAATGACAAATAGACATATCAAAAGGACCAAAATGAAAAAGCAAGATATCCATTGTCAAGGGATGACATTGCCTAATTTGGTCAATGCCTAGAAGTATGTCATTTTTACAAGACATTTCAAGATTTCCATGGTATTTTTTACTCAAAAGCTGCTTAATGGCAGATAAATGACCCAGCACATGCAATTACAATGTAAATCATGTATATGTACAAAATTTGTTAGAACGCTATTACTGAAAAAGCTGCGAATGTTCATCACTTAAAATTATCGTTTTTCCAATACTTAACTTTTTTTATGAGGAAGGCTTGTAATAATAATCCTGGATTGTCTAAATACCAATCAAAATATTTTACTTAATTTTTGCTTAATTAGCAATTCTTTCTTTACTTTCATTTTTAAAAATTGATAAAAATAGCTCCTATTTTCTCCTTGTCATCTTACCCTTCTTATAAATATGAATGGGGCCATACACAACAAATAGACAGTGCAGTAGATGGTTGATTATTATCAAATTTTTCTGGAAGGGGAATTTTTAAAAAGGGAGTTGCAAAAACCCCTAAACCCCCGGTGGTTGAGGCATTATGAAAAATATATATCTACAGTATTATGAAATTGATCACTATATATGAAATATTCTTTTTGTTTAAAATGAAAGAAAAGAATTCTATTTGCAGATCTAAAATACAAGTAATAAGATACAATATACTTTCAGTTTTTTATGAATGAGTCAGTTTAACCAAGACAGTTCAAAAACTGACATCGTCTTATACTTTGTATTGATTCTTTTTATAGTAAAGCTTGATAAACTGACACAAGGATGCTTTGACATCTTCAGATATATTTTATAGATATATATTGAAAAGAACGATCCACATTTAAACATTCTTTGAATAGCTCCATTCAAAACTCTTTTGAAACTCTTATAATATGTTTCATCAAAAGTGTCTATTTGCTGCGATGTATTTGTTATGATAGTACGAGAACTATGTTAACTTTATTTAATTTCATAAAATTTGCCAATTTTTCCTATCAAGGGTAGTGCTCACATCATTGCTGTAGAATTGTTGAATTAAAGTTTTTGCCATTTTCCATATTTTGCTTTCTTGAAATACAATATCTGATGTTTTAATTGTTAGTGTAGTAAGGTTACATCCATAATATATAAATAAAACTCAATTTATGTAAATTGGATAAATATTGCAATTATTTGAGCAACATTATTTATTTCAATATGACTGTCCCTGAAAATGATTTGTACAGAATGAACCAAAGGCTTCACCAGGCAGTCTCAATGTCCAATAACGGAACAATAACAATTTTTTAAGGGCCTTGAGATTTCTGGCAACCTCATTATTACACCTCAAAGCTATGCTGTTTTGTGTATTACCAATGTTGGTCTTTGTGTTTTCAATAAGGCACACATTGGGTAGCTGAGCTGGTGGACATAGTTAGAAATGAGGGCAATACTGAGGCCCTCAGCAGCCTTATCCATAGCAGAGCACACTTCCTGGAGCTCTCAGACAAAGGTAACATACAGTAAAACTGGCCAAACACCACTCTAATCTAAACACCTCTAGTGTGAATACTTTTTCTTGGTCCCTAATATGTTATCTCTCACTGACTTGCATATTTTGAAACCTTGAAACGTGAACACCTGCTAATCTGAGTACTTTTGGCCCGTCCCAATGGTGTTTGGATTTGACAGGTTTTACTGACTGGGAATTTTTAATCTGACCCATACTTATTTAAATGTGACAACTCTCCTCTCTGACCCAAAATCATGGGCAACTTTTACCAAAAAGTGGCATATTATTGAAAAAGCCCAAAATAAGAGCCATTTTGGAAACCCTTGTCCAGAATGTCTAAAAGTGACCATTTTGTAAAATTGGAAATTTCCCGCCATATACAAATGTGCTGTTCTGTATAGTGTAAACACATCTCTTCTGCTGTACTTACCAAACCTGTTCCTTTTAAATAATTCAGTAATTATGATTGGCCATAGAAGGTTTAATAAAATGGGTTACATCTTCCAATTTTTCCTGGATCTTTTGCACCCCTTGAATATTCTATTTCAGTGACAAATGGAGAGATAAATGTTTTTGAAGATGAGTCAGATGGGAGTAGATTCATTGAGTTAGGAAATAAGCCATCTCCTAGGTTACTAGTCTCTCATTTGCCTGCTGACTTCATGCCTAGTGACATCACAGGAGGACATACTAAGGTACAGATATGGGAGCCCCAAAAAAGGAGAAATCAAAATCTTTCTCAATTAGAAAATTTGCTCTATAATATCCATTGCTCTATGATTTCCATTGCTCTATGATATCCATTGCTCTATGATTTCCATTGCTCTATGATATCCATTGCTCTATGAATTCCATTGCTCTATGATTTCCATTGCTCTATGATTTCCATTGCTCTATGATATCCATTGCTCTATGATTTCCATTGCTCTATGATATCCATTGCTCTATGATGGCCATTGCTCTATGATTTCCATTGCTCTATGATATCCATTGCTCTATGATGGCCATTGCTCTATGATTTCCATTGCTCTATGATTTCCATTGCTCTATGATATCCATTGCTCTATGATTTCCAAGGCTCTATGATATTCATTGCTCTATGATATCCATTGCTCTATGATTTCCATTGCTCTATGATTTCCATTGCTCTATGATACCCATTGCTCTATGATTTCCATTGCTCTATGATTTCCATTGCTCTATGATTTCCATTGCTCTATGATTTCCATTTCCATTGCTCTATGATTTCCATTGCTCTATGATTTCCATTGCTTTATGATATCCATTGCTCTATGATTTCCATTGCTCTATGATTTCCATTTCCATTGCTCTATGATATCCATTGCTCTATGATATCCATTGCTCTATGATTTCCATTGCTCTATGATTTCCATTTCCATTGCTCTATGATTTCCATTGCTCTATGATTTCCATTTCCATTGCTCTAGGATTTCCATTGCTCTATGATATCCATTGCTCTATGATATCCATTGCTCTATGATTTCCATTGCTTTATGATACCCATTGCTCTATGATATCCATTGCTCTATGATTTCCATTGCTCTATGATTTCCATTGCTCTATCAAATGGCATTGCTTACAAAAATTTATTCTCTGATATTTGGAAAGTGTAATAATTTTCAGTAGGTAAACTCCAGAGACTAAAGAACTCATTTCTCATCAGAGTTGCCTTTTTTATTAAAACAACAAAATTTCAAATATTTTAACTGACAATATATTCCCACAAACTACCTTAAGAATATTGTTTTGTAAAAATATAAGATGAAAGAATGTTTATCTGATTCAGGTGGTCCTCGTACTGCGGAATCTTAAGTCAGTAATCGTGAGTTATCATTTCATGCTTGAGAGCTTTGGTGATGTTTTTAATGAACCATCTACAATTGACAAAGTGATGAAATCAATGATGCGTGACGATGGTGAACAAAGTATGTAAAGTATAACATTTCTATGTATGTTTAATAGTTACTTGAATGCTGCTTGAGTTGTTAATTTTTTAATGGAGTCAGTAATCGTGAGTAACCTTTTCATGCTTGAAATTGTTTTTAATGAACCCTCTAGATCTACAATTGACATACTCAATGATGCGTAACAATGGTGAATAAAGTATATATGTTTGTTTTATAATTTGTTGATGGAAAAGACAAAGATTATGCAAAAACAAGCATGCACAAGGCATTAACATGACCAAATGTCACCACCTAATTGCTCACAATATTATGAGTTCAATCTTAAGTCAGATTTGAACTGTTGAGAACTTGTAGATGATTTTGATGAAAAAAAAAATTTGGTCAATTTGAAGCAAGTTGAAAAAAGACATTTTGACCCTGAGAAGGTCATTGAGGTCAAATCTCAAATCTAAAGTCAGATTTGAACTTCTGATAACTTGTACATGATTTTATTATTGGAAGTTGTAAGAATTTACAGACGCTGATTGCCAACCACCAACCGCCGTAAAAAATGGAGACCATAACAATATGTCACCACTTTTTGGTGGTGACATAAAAACCTGTATTCGATCTGGCTAAAGGACATGCTTTTGCCTTCGTAAATATCATATCATTCTTCAGAATAAAATCCATATACTTTCCCCCATTCAAAAACCTCTGTTTATTTAGCTATTCTAGGGACATGGTACAACCATATAAAGTCTTGGTTAGACATCAGAGAGAAGCTCAAGGATAAATTGCTTGTGATTTACTATGAAGATCTAGTAAAGGTATTTGGTTTAACTTAATATTGCCTTTTTGTTGAGGTAGGACCAGGACAGCGTTTAAAATTATAATTATGATCAATTGTAAATTACATTAATTGTAAATTACATTAATTGCAAATTACATTAAATTGTAAATTACATCATTGAAGTTTTTTATGGTAACGGTTGTTATTTGTCTCAATAATTGTTACATCATTGAAGTTTTCTATAGTAACAGTTGCTATTTGTCTCATTGTTATGCAATAATTAATTATTTCAGTTTGATTCAGTTTGATTTCAGTTTGATGGACATCCTACGAAACGTCAAAAGAAAAATAAATATCTCTGAGAAAGAAAATCAACAACTATGTTAATAGTATAATTATGATATAAAAGTAACACCTAGGCCCCACCTTAGGAAACCCCAATATCCTTCCAAATGAATATTTTTCATCATAGTTTCATTACTGATGTATTACATACATACATTCTCAGGGCAACTCTATTTTAATGAAATCACACATATGTGTGTCACTTTGGTAGAAGTGAAACATGATGTCATGATGTTGCCATGGTAATAAATGAAAGCTGACTTCACAAATCTGTATAGCTCGTCGCCTACTTTTCCATTGACTCTGAGGCAAATAATTTGCTACACGTGCGTATATAATTCTCAGGCCCATAGCCAGCTTTTGCCAAGGGGCTTCATTTCTCAAAAATTTCAAGGGGATGTTTACATTTGACAATTTTGGCAGAAAATCTGCATGATCTTGAAAGGACCACCCCCCCTGGCTACAGACCTGAGACCTGTCTATACTAAATATAACTCATTTCAGAATATGCCTGATGCTATCAAATCAATGGCTGCATTTTTGGGGAAAAGTTTTACAGATGATGAAATAGCTAAGATAGCTGAGCACCTGCAGTTCAAATGCATGAAGAACAATGCAGCAGTTGGAAATGCATTTGGAGATTTGGTTAAAACAATGAACAGAGACCCAGAGGAACAGGTCATTCCACATATGAGGAAAGGTAATGACATACATGTATTATTGAAAAATAAAATTTATGATTTGGCATATTTTTATGAGGAGGGGCAATTTGTAATGAGAAAATATAATTTATGACTTGGCATATAAATTATTATGAATAAAAGGAAATCTATAATAGGGTAAGCTCTGGGGATAGGTTATCCTTCACCTATGAATATATAAGAGGGGAAACAGGCCCGTAGCCAGAATTTACCAAGGGGGTTCACTTTTCCAAAAAATTCTAGGGGGGGGGTTCACTTTGGTAAATTTGGCCAAAAATCACTCAAAAAATAGTCAGAATGGTGAAAAACTGCCGAAACCCCCGAACCCCTCCTGGCTACAGCCTGAGAAAACCACCAAAACCACCAAAAATGGAGGTTATTTTTGATTGGTCTAATAAAATATGTACATGTGCACAAAACTCTTAATAATAAACTAAACAAAAACTAAACAAAAATCTAAAAAAATCAAACATTTTTATGATTTCGATTTCACATCATGATCAAGGAAGCTAAGATTTACCAATTGACATGGTATGTTTTTTTCAGGGACCATAGATGACTGGAAGAACCATATGACTGTAGCTCAAAGTGAGGCTGTTGATGTTTATTACAAAGACAAACTAGAAACACTTGGACTAAAGTTTCAGTATGAATAAACAGTAACAGAAAGCCTGGTAGTTTCAGCCATATGACTAGCCTAGAGTGAGAATGTAGATGCTTATTACAAAGACAAACTCGAATCACTTGGACTGAAGTTTCAGTATGAATAAATGGTCACAGAAAGCCTGATAGTTTCACCCTTATGACTGTAGAGTGAGAATGTAGATGCTTATTACAAAGACAAACTAGAATCACTTGGACTGAAGTTTCAGTATGAATAAATGGTCACAGAAAGCCTGATAGTTTCACCCTTATGACTGTAGAGTGAGAATGTAGATGCTTATTACAAAGACAAACTAGAATCACTTGGACTGAAGTTTCAGTATGAATAAATGGTCACAGAAAGCCTGATAGTTTCACCCTTATGACTGTAGAGTGAGAATGTAGATGCTTATAACAAAGACAAACTAGAATCACTTGGACTGAAGTTTCAGTATGAATAAATGGTCACAGAAAGCCTGATAGTTTCACCCTTATGACTGTAGAGTGAGAATGTAGATGCTTATAACAAAGACAAACTTAGATCACTTGGTCTCAAGTTTCAATTCAAATAAACATTTCAAATATCATACTGTGTAACTCATTATTACCATGGCAATCTCCTCATTTGGAATTGCAACAAAAATGTATCCATTCAAAGAATTGGTAATGAACTGGTAATCTCAAGCATGAGAGAGCACATTCACACATTTAAAGGTTCTTTGTAAGATGTGTTGTTTTGCTTTCATAGTATTTGATATATTTATCTTATTTTAGATTTGGTCAATCAAATAAACTCACAATTTGTAGAAATGCCATTCTTATTCTATTGAGCGTAATAAAATAGAATAATCATGTCAGACTTCTTTTTACATGATCTTACCTTTTTTTGAACTGGAACCTCTGGAGCCCTTACTTGTTCTTGTTACGCCAGACTAAAATATAAAATTAGCAAATACTTCTATACATCTAGAATAAGATTGGGGCTTTTTGCTCATTTTTGTATTTTTCATTGAGAGGAGAGTGAATGATACAACTAAAAGTGTGTTTCTGACTTTTTTACTGAAGGCTCATTATGTTGTTCTTATGAGGTGTCAGGAATGACAGATGACATTTTCATATATAAATCGAAAATTTAGTTTCAAGATTTTCAGAATTTTGTAAATTGATATGCAAAGATCAAAACTCAAAATGTTTCTGAGAACTGGGCCTGAATGACAAAAGGTAAACTACTTATTTACCAACCAACTATTAATTCACATTTGTCTACTCTTTAATCTCTTGAAAGCCCATGGTTATGTCTGTTTATATTTTCATTTTGTCAACTTTCTATAACATTGAGGAATAATTAAAAAGGGCTCAAAGTTATCAAACCTTTAGGAAGGGTTGTAACTGTATGCTTTTTTTTACATTGACAATCCCTTATTTATGGTTTAACTTCAATTATACACACCAGAAGCGACTTTCCTCCAAGTTTGGTGACTCCCGTTTTGGTACTAATGACACTCTCAGCCTTGCCAATAGTGGGAGCCACTGTCCTCGACGCAGATTCTATGAGTGATGTTACAGATTCTTTCTCCCTGAAAAAAAAATTTATATTACATATAGTTTTTGTAATCTGAACAAGCTCGAATGAGGTTCTAGCTGTTTACTTTAAACACAAACGTGTACTAAAGTACATGTATGGTCTCTGATATACATTAAATTATGGTCTCTGACTTTTATAAAATGATAAAATAAAATGACTTTTTCCAATGTACATAAAATGATTGTATGGTTTCTGATATACATAAAATGATGGTCTCTTGACTTTTATAAAATGATAAAATAAAATTACTGTTTCCAATGTACATAAAATGATTGTCTTTGATTCACATAAAATGATTGTCTTTGATTCACATAAAATGATTGTCTTTGATTCACATAAAATGATTTTCTTTGATTCACATAAAATGATTGTCTTTGATTCACATAAAATGATAGTACCTGACTTACATAAAATGTTCATCTAAGACTTACATAAAATGTTCTTCTTTGACATAATTACATATACATCTTTGACTTATGAGACATAAAATGACTGCTTGTGATGCACATACAATAATTTCTGACATACATAAAATGATTATCTTTGACTTACATAAAATGATGGTCTCTGAATGCGACATCATCTGACACTTCCGCAACCTCAAGTGCGGGATCATCAGCCTTACACATACTGTAGCGGCCTTTACTAGAGGCTTGGAAGCACTCTACAGGAATCAGCGACTCCTCTGCTATTAAATTTTGCAATTGGTTATAGCTGTGCGACTCAGCTGAAACATATATTCAAAAAATATTTAGAGATGTTGATAATCTGATTTTTTTCTATAATACATTTTTTGATTTTCCGCCAAAAATGTAACATGTAAAATTTCAAATAATATTTGACCAACTCACCACAACATTTTGACTGAATTAACAATCAAATTGTTAAATTAGAAATAATTCTTTGATACACACTCCCCTCCAGAGTTGACAACTCAAACATTTTTCTAAATAGCCAATATACAGGAAACAGACTTTGATAAAAAGGGTCCTCTGGTTGTCAAACTTATAGAGGGGGGTGTAGCATCAGGCCCGTAGCCAGGGGGGGGGGGTTCGCAGGGTTCGGGTGAACCCCCCCCTGGCCAAAAATTCTTTCAAAATCATGCAGTATTTCACCATTTTGAGCACTTCTCAAGTGATTTTAGACATATTTGGGCCAAAATTGTCAAATGTGAACCTCTCTTGGAAATTTTTGAAAACTGAACCCCCCTTGGCAAATCCTGGCTACGGGCCTGAGCATCAAACAAGTAAAATGTACTAAGAAAAGCACAACACTATATTTTCCCTATTATTCATTCCATGTGTAGTCTTAAATAAAAGGCTATGAAAGCTCCATTTGAGATTCTTACGTATGATGTTATCAATATTAAAACTAATGAAAAGTTGACCTTGAACTAAAATCTGACAATTGGCCTGGAACTCCAACCAATGGCCTCAAATTCGCTTCATTCACCACTTCATTAAATAATGATGGGTGGAAATTTCGTACCTGTATTAGACTCTGGTTGTAGTTTATCTTCATATTGTATTTCTATGGCACCAATCTGCTGAGCAATCGGTGACTGAGCCTGCAAAATCAATTGATAAAGGACTTGCATCCGACAACATAACAATTATATATACATGTAATATACACCAGAATTTTCCCATATAAGGCATGCTCTATATATGGGCCGTGTGTCTTTGGCTGAAACTACCTTTACTTCAAAATAAGTTCCATGAGAGTTCAAAATGAGGGAAAAATGTATATCTTTATTTAACAGCAAACCCGCAAATGAAAATTGCAGGGGTTTCACTAGAATTTCTCACAACAGGCTAAATAAATGAAAACAAGCAAAATTAATGGAAATCATAATAGTATCTAAAAACAACAGGCGATTTTGTGAAAACAAGTGATGAAAATCGCCTGTTGCCTGCCACTAATGAAACCCTGAAAAAAGATAATATATTTTCATGTACATATAATTTCTATTCAAAAAATGTCTGCACTAATATTTTTCTGTAAAATTTTGGCGAGGCAGTTGAGGCATTTGCCTCCCTTGCCTCATGCCTGGCTACAATCACAAGGATTAAAAGTAATTATTTACCTCTGGTAGCGGTTGTGCAGTTGCATTGATCCAGTTTTGCACCATACTCTCCCGTACAGTAGAAGCATCACCAGTTGTGCTAAAATAGCAATATGGAATATAGATGACATTAGATGTAAATGTACAGAGATCAAATATATAGTTCCCATCAATGAATTTGAATGACTAATAAACACCTGTAAATCTGGTCATTTTTGTTTAAAAATTCCTAAAATTATCAGAAAAATTACAAGAAAAATTTCAAATTGCCTGGAAGCTAGGCTATTTTAGGTGTAATGGAGTTTCTTGGAAAGTTGCAAAAAATGTTGCTTTATCAGAATAAAATACTTTTTTATTACTTGTAGATACTTTTCAAAAAGTGTGTACAGATTGAAAAATGCCCTGGTAATGGTTCTGTAAGTGGCGAAGACATTTTTTTGATGACATCAGACTCTTAAAGCGGGGAATATGGTTTAGGTTCCCATCATTTATGTCATAAACCAATCTAAGAGTGGGATATACTGTATAAGTGGTAATTTTGTCCAATCATTTCATTTGAAAATTAAGTTGTTGGAAATATTATCTTCATAATGTTATCCAGTGAGAAGTTTCCTGTGATTAGGAAAATTAAAAATAGGAAAATGATAAAATTTGACTATTCGGCAAATTAACCACTCAGATTAAATAACACTTAAACAGTTTATCAAAGAATAATTCTTGCTGGTCATAAAGGCGAAAAGAGTTTTGGGAAAGTTAAGGATACTGAACTAGATCTTTATGCAGCAATGTTCTTACATTTTTTTAACATTTGTTGTGTTGAGGTCACTTCGTATTGATAAGGAGCTAATTTGATTCCTGTGTAATGGCACTTCTAATGGACCACCAGGGAGTCGAATGGATGATCTTCGATTTAAATTCATTCTGCTTTAGTGTCTGCTATCGTTTCATCTGTTTTTTCCTACAAGCCTGCTGTTTCGCGATGTCAGACTAAGACTAGAGTTTCTACCTGTAAATAGATATTATTAGAGAGAATGGCATGCAGGTACTGTATAAGAACCCTCAAAACATAAGGCACATAGCATTGAAATCATAACGTGCATGTATAAAAGGTTAACACATATATATAATAGTAGAACCTGTGTATATTGAACATTTTTTGCTTTTGTTTGTGTTGTTAGGTGTTCACTTCATAGGTAATTTTTACAGAAGTCAGTAGCGTATGTATAGAGGAAAATCGTCCACTAGAGACAGGTGTTCACTAGAGAGAGGTGTTCCCTCAGACAGGTAGAAAGAGGTAGGCCTGGGTAGCCCTAGATTCATCATGGAAATAAATTGAAAAAAAATCATGCAGTTCAAGCATGCTAACCTACTCAAATTGAGTACATTTACACACACAAACTCACCAAATTATGGATCTCTATACTTATCTTTAAATGAATTTGGTATAATTCATCGATTACCAATGAGTATAACCAACTTATTTTCGATGTAACAAACTTTGGGAAACTTTTAAATCTAGCGCGCTGACTACTTCCGGTAACATTACCCAAGATGCATCATTTCCGGAAATGAATTTTTTTGCAAAAAAAGTTAAAATTTGTCAATAAATACGGATTTTCATCAAAAGAACGAATGGAAAAAGTACAGTAAAGCAATACAATAGAAGTTATATAATGGCTGATATTCAGGCGAAGTATCAGAAACTTGCGACGGAATATGCTAAGGTAAGCGGACTTTTACTAAATATACTCCCACTAGGCTATTTTTCTATTTTTTTTGTAGCAAGTCAAGTGTCTTACTCTTAGACCAGCAGTAGCATAAATGCCAATGCTTTTCAGACACAGAAACATTAAGGAAGGAGTGAAATTATTTTTGATGAAAATCAAACACATCTAAAAGGATACTGAATCCAATCGAGACCCTATCTGTTGCAAGACATTGCTTGGCACAACCGTCACCATGTTATTAAGGTGCTATGGAAGTTAACAGGAAATGACAAAACAGGAAGTGACAATGCCATGCTGGATTTTGAAATTTTTTTGAACCAAGATAACAGAGTTCTGTTTGGACCTCCAGTCAGTTTAACTAGTTCCACATATCATTTACATGACCAGGAACACAACGGAAATGGTCAGAATGACCATAAACATGATGAAATAACCTTTTCAGCCCTCTGAAAATGTGCCTGAAAAACAGCTAAGAGTAGGTGCTCAGGAAAGGTCACTGAACAGAATCTTTTGACTTTTTCAGAAAATCTGCCCAATATATTGCTTAAAATGATACAATTTAAAAAAATTTGATATTATTCTTAGAAAAAGAGAAAAATGAAAAAAACTGAATTGAAAATCGATCGATTTACCTTTTTACTACAGCCATTATTGTTTCAGACAATTTTTAAAAATTTCAAAGATTGTATCATTTAGAGCAATATATTGGACACGTTTTCTGAAAAAATCGAAAGATTCTGTTCAGTGACCTTTCCTGAGCACCTACTTTTAGCTTAGGTTTAGGTTATTTCATCATTTTTATGGTCATTCTGACCATTTCCATTGTGTTCCCAGTCATGTAAATGATATGTCGAACTAGTAAAACTGACTAGAGGTCCAAACAGAACTCTGATATCTTGCTTCAAAAAATTTTCAAAATCCAGCATGGCTTTGTCACTTCCTGTTTTGTCATTTCCTGTTAACTTCCATGGCACCTTAAGGTGCTATGGAAGTAAACAGGAAATGACAAAACAGGAAGTGATATTTTTTTTTGCATTTTTAGACATTTTTTGAACAAAGATAACAGAGTTCTGTTTTAACCTCCAGTCAATTCAACTAGAGTCCATTTCACTGCTTCATTTCGTCAGTAGAATGGCAAAAATAAAAAATTGGGAGACCATTGTGCAATAATATATGGAAAAGTATATTCATAATGTACATGAATGACATTTGTATATCTTGGATTGCTTCTAGTTTGGCTTATAAATTGTGTGGCCTCTTATATTTGGATGTTTCTCTGCCATGTTATTTTCAATAAGATTAACATGGCTGAAATTCTTCAAATTACAAGACGGCACAGGCTTATTGCACAAAAAACTAAAAAATCTGAAATATACAAATGTCATTCATGTACATTATGAATATACTTTTCCATATATTATTGCACAATGGTCTCCCAATTTCTTATTTTTGCCGTTCTACTCACGAAATGAAGCTGTGAAATGGACTCTAGTTCCAAATACCATTTACAGGTCCAGGATCACAATGTGCAGGGTCAGAATGACCCTAAACATGATGCAGTGTTCGCGTTGACGCCGTTTTTTCTCGTTTTTACGGAAATTTCAAGAGGTTGGACGGAAAAATCAGAAATAACTTACGTCCTTGGGACGCAAAGATTCTACACCACCATCAGGTAACTTTTACTGCAGCGTAGAAGTGATAAAACATGATTTTCTGAAGAATTTTCAGATCGTCTACTTCCTTGATCTCGATAATGTTTATGTCGGCAAATCTGATTGGCTACGAAGTGTCTCAGTATATTCGCGGGGTTTCTAGTCTGAAACGCAGCATTTGATTGGCTATGGTGCCCTCCGAGTCATTCCGGAGTATACCGAAGCTGGATAATCTGTTGTACGCAAACATTAGTTTCAAAATTGAGAATTGAGACTTGTTTTTCACGATAACCTTAATTACTTCCACTAGGAACCGTTAGATATCGATCTAATGTTATACATCAATATAATTATTTAATGATAGATCAACGTTTTTCATCTAAAAGTCGTCAGAGAAAGGAGAAATGTTATAAAAAGAAACAAAAAGTTCACGACCTTGACACGACCTTGAAGATCGCTGGTTGGTAAAATGTGAAAACAACTCTTAATTTGAATATTTCTTTCATTCATTTCGGAGAATTTTGGTATAGCATTAGTAAAGAATTGTGTGAAAAGGACCAAATGATAGATATTTATCGGGAGAATGCATAGAATTACAATACATGTCATTATATCCGGTTTTAGCGTAAGCACTCTATTATCGCCCACTTTACTTTCACTTTAATATCTTCTTTAATATTAATAACAAAATATGAGGGACGCAAAAAATATTAGACGGGACTCACATTTTTCAAATGTGTTGCGTCCCTGGGACTCAGAAATTTAAATGGCCAGCGCGAACACTGTGATGAAATAACCTTTTTAGCCCTTTGAAAGTGTGACTGAAAAAAAGCTAAAAGTAGGAGCTAGGGAAGGTCACTGAACAGAATCTTTTGAATTTTTCAGAAAATTTGCCCAATATAATGCTCTAACTGATACAATCTTTGAAATTTTAGAAAATTGTCTTAATACTCTAGTAGCTCATGCTGGTTGAGTATGCACTTCTATGTCCAGAGATTTTCTCTTCAGAAATCATCTATGTGAAGGTCATTGATCAATTTTGGCTTGGTAACATATTTGCCACTGAAGGCGAAATAGGTCAAATGGCCACGCCCTTTTTTACGCAAATACTCCCCCCCCCCATTTTTGCATCTCCAGAACCGTTGGACATAGAAGGTTGTGTGACCACTCAAAATGTCCGGAATGGCCACATTATAGGGGGTCAATAATACATTTGTATTTAAAAAAGTCAATGGTTCTCAAGATATTTCCCAAAAACTGATTTTAGAATGAAAACTCCACTATTTTCTCCTTTGATCCTGTCCCTAGCTCCGATTTCGTTACTCGGCTGGGAAAAAAGGTTTGTTGGTATCATTTTATTCCAGACACTCTCTAGAATAAATTCATCTTGGGTGGAATAAAAATGTGTGGTAAACGAATTCGCTATGGGCAGTTAAAGAGGTGCCATCTATTCATTTTCAAACAGGGGGTAGGGGTATAAAATAATTTTTTAACACATTTTAATAGTAAAATGACATTGAAATACTAATAAAATCTTATCAAAAACATTATTTACAATTAGTATGAATTTTCTTGTGTGGATTAGGGTGAAAATAAGGGCATATCTTGAAATTCACTACAGGGGCGCCACCTATTTCTGTACGTGTAATAACTTATTTTAGATTCGTTAAGGTACGAAATGTACTGAAAAAATTCATTCTGAAGGACCTATCCATGTTCATACCACATACTTAAAATTAGATCAATAGCTTATGTACCAGCGGAGAAAAAATTTATTGAAATTTAAAATTTTGGTATCATGCAGGATAGGGGTGACCATATCTCACATTATTAACTTCCAAAATATGGAGCATATGCATCTCAAATGTGCTCAAAATGTTGTATGTACTGTTTCTTTGTCATAATATTACTAATAAGAAGTAGAAAAAATGATTGTACATTTTAGAAATATTAATTCTCATTTTGGCTTCTGACGTCCCAGGGGTGACCATATCTCACCTTTATAACTTCCAAAATATGGAGCATATGTTTCTCAAATGTGGTCAAAATGGTGTATGTACTCTTGCTTTGTCATAATATTAGTAATAAGAAGTAAGAAAATGATTGTACATTTAAAAAAATATTAATTCTCATTTTGGCTTCTGACGTCCCAGGGGTGACCATATGTCACCTTAATAACTTCCAAAATATGGAGCATATGTATCTCAAATGTGGTCAAAATGGTGTATGTACTCTTGCTTTGTCATAATATTAGTAATAAGAAGTAAGAAAATGATTGTACATTTAAAAAAATATTAATTCTCATTTTGGCTTCTGACGTCCCAGGGGTGACCATATGTCACCTTAATAACTTCCAAAATATGGAGCATATGTATCTCAAATGTGGTCAAAATGGTGTATGTACTCTTGCTTTGTCATAATATTAGTAATAAGAAGTAGAAAAATGATTGTACATTTTAGAAATTATTAATTCTCATTTTGGCTTCTGACGTCCCAGGGGTGACCATATGTCACCTTAATAATCAAACCCTAGCAACTGGAAAACAGCAGGCCCAAATGGAAAACACAATGTCAACAATCGCCCCATAAACTGCCAAAGTGATAAACCCAAATCAAACGATGCTTCCAGACGATGCTTCAAATGCGGTGAGGCAAGTCACCTCGCCAATTCATGCTGGCATCCTAGCACGGTGAGATGCCATTGGTGCAGAAAATTGGGTCACAAAAAATCCTCATGCCCTATGCTGGAGGAATATGAAAGGAGGGAACGTGCACATGAACAGTTCAGCCACCACTGGACCCAATATTCAAATCAGGACTACTGATGGAGAGGCGACGAACACGCCTTCACCCAAGATGAGAAGCATGGCCCAACCCCACGGCTCAGACCCAAATCCTATCCTAAAAAGATCAGACGTTCCAAAAACCATAACAAACATAAACCCAACATTATTAAGATAGGATTCAACAATGTCCAAAAGTTAGGGATAAGTAAACAACATGAACTGGTAAAAATGTTGGACTCAGAGAAGTTTGATGTACTGGCAGTTGCTGAAACAAACTTCAGCGAAGTTAATAGCATTTCTATTATAAACAATAACTATAAGTGGTATCCTAAAAATAGGGTCAATAATTTAGGAGGTGGAATTGGATTTTTTATTAGAAATGATGTAACAGTCACTAATGACAATGTGTTAGATTCCGGTATTGATGATTTAGAAAGGTTTTGGATTCAAGTTAAAGTCAATGACTCAGCTTTAAACATTGGGGTTACTTATTATCCTGTTGACGGTAAAAATAAAGACCTCTGTGAAAAGATGACACTGGAACTCATAGAAAATGTCT